AGTTCAAGGGGGCCGAATACTTTCGCAAGGCACTGTAAATATGTAAACTTATGTGTGCTATAAAATAAACCATTCTTAAGTGCATAAAATAAAAATCACCCTAACAAAACCCAGCCTTTATTTGCTCATACTCACACAGCTCTGCACAGCCGGAGCCATGAAGACGCGGTCCCATGCTAGCTACCCTCACACACCTTCTTCCGAGCATTGTCTAAGCCGTCCAGTACATGACCTTCTAGGTCACATTGACCTAGCGCAAATTTCCTTTCTCTAAACCTGAACAGAGCACACGAACAGTTCACATAAGCTGCAGCTGCAGTATCTGTATATCCATTCCCTATCAGAGGAGGAAGTCACTCAGGATGTTGACCCATAAGTTAATCAAGGGGGACACAGATATTCTTGCCTGCGCCAGAGACAGATCAAGCTTCCGCACACACTTAGCTCACCCTTACTGTTACTACATACTGTTCTATTACATATCACTTCTGGAATCTGGTTTATTTCTAACCACTACACTTAAAACAGAGAAACAGGCAAATGTGTAAATGTCACAACCTTGTGACTAATGTGAATGAGTCTCTATGTTATTGGCTAGTTCTGTATGTTTACAGATGCATGAGCTCAGTTTCCAGGTGAGTGTGTGGACTGTTTGTGTGCATGAGTGTGCACAGTATGCCCAAGGCACACACCAGCGTGTTAGTGAAGTGACTGTAGGTAATGGACGTTGTGTGGGAGCGTTGGCTTCTGTGCATTAAAGCTTTATGGTGTGCAACAACTTTGTTGAATTCAGCATCTAAACTGAGGAAAAAACAGCTTGAATATTAATTTTCCTCCCACCACCACTTCTCCATCACCTCTCATACACCCTCATACCCTTCCACCTCTGTGCCCCTCTCCACAGATCAGTGGTACCGTACCGCGAGCTGGGCGGACAAACAGCAGTCTCTCTGAATTTTGGAGGGGGGAGGTCACTTCTTAGAGTGGGCGGATGGACAGAGCCGTATTTTTCAAAACAGTTTTTGCTTTGACGTGTGTGTCTGCGGTGGACCGAGGAGGAGAGTTCACCCTCTGCCATGACATCAAGTGCCTTCAGACTGACAGGAAGAGACGGCCAGGCTGAGGATCGCCACCGCCATCGAAACAACACACAATATTAATGACCAGGGAGAAATTGACCAGTAAACAGAAATACGTGGAGAAGCAGCAGCAACAAAGAAGCCATGAACTGGAACCAGACATGACAGACAGGAAGATCTTGATTCATTTAACGTACAACATGCAGTCATGATTTGAGACTGGATTTTTCAGAATAAAACCACTTCCTGCCAGATGATGCTCAGCCCTAAGTCAATGGGTTGGAGTCTTTGACACTTCCTGAGACCATCAGTTCCCTTAAACTGCAAAAACAGCTTTTGGAAAAATGAAGGAAGAAAAAGTGATCTGTAAAATTAAATCTTTTATTGTTACTATGAAATATTATAAAGACCAGAGAAATCTTTACACTTTTCATTTTTAATCATCTTTTGTTTTGTTGGCTTTAATGAGACTGGATTTCTTCTTCAGATGTTTACTTTTCATTTGTTTTTGTTAGTTTTTTTCCAATATGTGGGAAAAAATTGAAACATTGGGTAAAATTTTTTTCTTATTTTTAAAGACTTGGTGGATATATTCAGGTTTAAGGCCCATCCTTTCTATTCAAGACAAAAGCATCCATTAAAAAGCACAACAAACAATTTAGCTAAATGGTGTTGACACACGAACAACACATCTGTACACATGTACACATCTGGCCACTTTAATTAGGTACACCCGTATGCACTTCAGTGCAACATTTCCGCCTTAACATCTGTGTTTGTGAAGCTAATACCTAATATTCTGACCCTCTCATGTTTGAAGCCAGGGAGTACAAAAATATAGACACCTGTAAATATACTGTAGTCCAGTACAACGCCACCTTTAACTATGACCTCAGTAATAAACATTGAATTAAATTTATGCATTTATGACAATTTCACCAAAAACAGAAGCATGTTGAGCTTCACAAACACAGATGTTAAGGCAGAAGTGGGGAGGCGACAGTGGTTCAGTGGGTAGAGCAGTCGTCTCCCAACCAGAAGGTTGAAGGTTCGAATCTCGGTGCCTGCAGTCTACGTGTCAAAGTGTCCTTGGGCAAGACACTGAACCCCCCCGTTGCCCTCGATGGTTAGAGCCATCGGTTGAGTTGGCGCCACAGATGGCTTCCTCGGTTCTGTACCAGAAACAAATTCCTTGTGTGTAATGTACTTGGTTATCCTTTAAAAAAAAAAAAAAAGTGTGTACCTAATAAAGTGGCCGGTGAGTCCATCCATTATCTACACCACTTATCCTGGCATTGGACGAGACAGGTCACCAGTCTATGTTGTCTTTGGACTGTGAGAGGAAGCCAGAGAACCCACGCAGCCACAGAGAGAACATGCAGACTCCACACAGACAAGCCCTGGGTCGGCCTGGGCTCAAACCCAGAACCTTCTAGCTGTGAGGCGACAGCGCTAACCACTACCCCGCCATGCCGCCCTTGGCTGGTGAGTGTATACTATTAATGAAGCCCATTTCTGCTAAGAAAAGAAAAAAATGGATAAAATGTTAGTTATATAAAAAATGTGACTTACAAGGCAACAGGCTGAATTATCTTCAAATCATGACTTGAAAATGATCATGTTGGTTAGAACAGACAGATGTTTGACATAAACACTCATCATTTTAACTTAATGTTAATTTTGAAATGTCTAACTTTCATAATTATGACTTTTCTAATAATTTTGGTTTTAAAAAGTCATGTTTAACTTACTCATAGTTTTACTTAAAACAGATCTGATTTAAAAAGTCACATTTCTGATTGAAAAGATCACAAGTAAAAACTCAGAATTAATCTTTCTTAATTAATTTTATTAATTTTGCTTTAGGGTTTTTATTTATTCATTCGGTCGGTCGTAACATTTCATCACTCCTTTGTGTTGGTCCTGGCAGAACTGGGCTTCAGTTCGTCGAGTCATTCGCACGCCGTCACACAAAGACCATGCCACTTAATTCACAGCATAATTATTCAACTTGAAAATACATTTCAGGACCATGGAAAAGCAGCACTCTTATTGTCTGTAATGCCACGTTGTGCTGAGTGAGCAGGCTTCAGTACAAGGATGATTGGATCAGATCAATCAGGGATTTGATTCATCGACAGTGGACGTGACGTATGAATCACTGAGTGAAGAGTGGGTCTTTATGATTCACTGTGTGTAAACACAAACAAGCAGGCTCTTTGGTGGAGATACAGTACATGGACTTCCACTACACAATAAAGCATGAGTTAAAAAGCCTGATTTCTATCTCAGCCACTGTTACACTTACGATCATTAACTTTGATCAGATCCATTAGTTAACCCAATCACTCTGATAAATGCTTCTTTTAAATGTTTTGGTGGTTTCTTCTCTCCCAGTAGCAACACTTCCTCTCTGTGTGTTTTTCCACTGCAGCTCGCTGTGCACATCATCAGGTTTGTATTAAAGCTCCTCATTTTATCCTCCACTGTGTTTTTATCTCATTAACTCTGATTGTTGAGAGGTTTAAGGATTTTATTATCAATTCACCATATGTGCAGGACATACAAAAATTGAAATACCGTTTCTCTCTCACCTAGTACTGGGTTCCATAACATTTAGGAACTAGATCTAAACGATGCAGCCAATAAGCTGTGACAGAGTACAGTCAGTGACCGTAGTGCAAAGTGACACCCTCTTTGCTTAAAAAGTTGAAAATGAGTCAGTTGTGATGAATCAAAATTCTTTTTTGGGGGGCACGAACTGGCTTCCATAAATTTAGGTCACAACGAAGATGGCAGGTGATGAGAGCTGTAGTTTTTAACACAGGCTTCAGCTTTTACTATGAAGGTCTATGCATATACTGAAACACCTGTTTATCATATGACAACTATACGTGCTTTTTAGGAAGACTAATGATAAAAAGTGACTTAAATTGTATTTATATACAAAACTGGAGTAACAGGGGCTGTATTTCAGCTCCCTGCAGAGCATAACTGTCGCACAGCGGATCTAGACACAGTTAAAATAGCTGCAAACTAAAGTACATGTGTAGTATGTGCAATAAAATAAGCATTTTAAAAAATCCACCGACACAACGTGTATTTTTATAACTGACTATTTTCCGCAATAGATTCTCAGATCAGTTGGACGGACTTAAGGTTACACTGCATTCTGGTTATTATTATTACTTTAATAAATCCCCCCCACATAGAACATTTAACAGCATCCTGTGGTCATCTTGCTGTGTCCTGTATCTCAGTCTCCATTTGTATTCAACACACCGTGGGGAAACCAGTTCACACCGTGCATTGTGGGGAATCTGCTCCTCACAAGGTTTAAATTTAAACTCAGAGGTACATGTTTCACTTTGTCAGCCTCTAACAAATTAATATAATGCAATGCATTGTCCTCACATGTGACAAAATGCGTGTGTGTTCAGATTAGTGTGGGTACCCAAACCGAGCCTGATGGGCCCTGTCGATACCCAAGGGTTTGGGCTGGGTTTGGACACAAATTTGAGAATTATGTTTGGGTCCGGGTCAGGTTCATACATGCAGGCCAAATTTTAGGCCACGTTGCTGGAGCGCTCAAATGTCTGCTTCGTTTAACGGTAAGGGGGAAAACGCCATACAAACTCAACTGTGTCGGGCTCAGGTCAGGTTTCAAACACGCTATACTATAAGCTTGTTGGGTCCATGTCGGGTTTAGGCACCACACTCTCAGGCATGGGTCAGGTCTAGACAGAAGTACGCTGCCACATCCATGTTCTAGTTCAGATATAAAAGACGTGAGGACAGAGATCCGTTTACACACTGGCACTGTGGGCATGAGGTCCCCTCAACGTTAAGTAGGGCAGACAGATTGAATGGATTCACCCGACGTTCACCATGAATCAGTTGCCTCCAGCTAGTTTCAGAATCAGGCCAAATTTCAGGCAGATACAGTAGCCGGTTGTTTGCTGAGCAACATGAGCAGGGTCCTGGCGCCCGATTAATAGCTCGTTAATATCTGACTTTTTTAGGCCGAAGAGTAAAATCAGTGAGATTAAAGAATCTCACACCTGAAACTTGATTAAGATGCTGTTTAATAATGATTCAACTGGAACAAGTTTACATTTCACAAAACCTTCTCATAATGTACCTCACATTACAACACGTTCTCCTGTTGCCATAAAGACACTGACCACAAAAGGTTTCTTTGATTTATAGGCTGTTATATTCTAATGTGTAGAGAAACTAGAGCCTCCAGCTGCCAAGTGAATGTATTGAAGTAAAAGTTTTAGCAGGCCAGAGACACTGGATCTTTTGTTTCTTCAGGAAGCTGATGTTTTGAGTAACTTCTCTTCCACGGTGAATAAACGAGCTTTTTGGAGATGAACTCGTCCTGGTCCAGGACTCTCAGGTTTCTGTCCCTGGCCTGCTGCTGCTGCTCTGGGTGATTTGTGTTTCTCCATTAAGTTTACATTGGAAATGTAATTTATAGCCTTGTGGGGTCTTCTCAGAGTGGGACCATTTATCAGCGCTGACCCTGTGCTGCCAGCTGACGAATGTCTTTCCAGCGCTCTGACTGGAGCAGCTGCCATGTTTATCACCGGCCTTTATTTACTGAATGCAGCCCGGCTCCATGGCGGCCTAATGGCCACCATTCATTATCCCTCAATTGATTTTCAATTGCAGTGTTGCAGCATGTTAAGCCAGTCAGGGTTGGGCTGGTCTAATTCCTGGAGTATATGTACAGTAGGTGGGTTTGTTGAAGCCCCAAGGAGATGTTATGTGATGGACAGAGACTGTTTTTAACGTTTCTGATTTTTGTTCCACCACGAACCTGGTACAGCACAGTTTTCAAATATTCATTACTTATTTGCTGTCAGTGTCACAGAACTAGCTTTTTTGTTGTAAGCACAGCACAAGCTGAAGCTTTGGCTCCGTCCATATCCAAGCTGAAGTTTCCCGGTTTCCCTGTGTCCACAGCAGTGTGAACAGACCAGGTGTCCTCAGACCAGATCTGGGCCACCTGCCTATGTGCTCCTAGACCCGATTCCTGTCCGACCTCTGACTGTGCGAGCACCGTCAGGACAGTCAGATCAGAATCCATGTGGTCGTTTTGTCTCCTCTGCAGATACGGCCCGTTGTCATCGTTCAGTGTTGGCCCCTCACAGACCAGTAACAGTAAACATGGAGGAGAGCAACGACAGTGACGGGGTCAGTGGAGAGACCAGGATGTTTTACATGTGGTGGACGTTTATGGAGAAGCTTCTGATCAGGACAAACTGGAAGGAACATATCGTAACCCAGTGGTTTGGGAGGAAACTGGGCCATTTGACCGTCGCACACGCCACCTTGTTGTTATTCTTGTGTGCACGTGGCTCACATTTTAGCTACATCTGTGCATGTGTGGCAGGTTGGGAGCTCAGTGGTGAGCATTAAGGCCTGGGATGGTAATGCAGCCTTTGGTTGTCGTTATGTAAAGTGTCAGTTGCTGCAGCTGGTATTTCTGGTGTTTTGGACCTTGAGTTTTTTTTCTCTGCGTGACGTTTACTGAATCCGTCTGAAAGAATCATTTCAGGGTTACGGATGTTTTTTTTTAATGACTGTGTGTCATGTGTGACACTGCAGTACCGACTGCAGCCACTAGACCAACATCACCCCACCGAGTGTCCGTGGATTCACCTGCAGAGGCCAAGTAAATCTTTAAGAATGATTCAGGTTCCTCTTTGGTGAACTTTGACCCAGAATAAAAGAGCTCCACTCTTCTGGTGAAGTCAGCATATTCATTTCCTAACTTAACAGTGAACGTCTGTGTAAACCTTGTGCCCACTGTGCCAGAGAACAACCTGTACAGTTGAGTGGGCTTCAGCCGGATGCCTTTGGGTGAGTCCACACATTCTGTCTATTTAAAAGCTATGCACTCCTGTAATTAACCCTCGTTTACTTTGTTCGTCACAGACAGACTTTACACCAAACCCTGTTTAAAAATCTCAGTTTTCAAAGTAACACCTGTCATATAAATGTGAAATGTGATAGAGTAACAAGTCATATTCATATAGAAACATATTTAAAAAAGAAAAACCTTAGACTTTAGACAAAATCCTTAAGTTGTGTAATAAGCTGACCCTCTGTTTCTGTGCAGAACGTTTAGAAAAAGCAGCTTGTTGAGTCTCATGCTGCTGTTTTTAATGTCATGACATCGTGTGGACATCAGCGGAAAGTACAAAATGACCAATGGGAGAGAAATAGAACAACAGGAAGTGTTTAAAAAGGGGAAAGCAAAAATCTTTGAATAACCTGTAGTGATGGAAAGATGAAGCTTCATCGAAGGATCCGAGCTTTCCAGCTGTTTGAAGCACATGTGAAGTTCATGTGTCGAAGCTTCACTTAGTGGTGAAAAGAAGTTACCACAAGAGAAACACACTTTGAAACAGCGCCTTGTTTGTTGCTCCATAGGTAAAGTGACAGTGTTTTTTCAAAATAAAATAGGAATCATGTTATTTATAATATTATTACCTCCGTCTGTAAATTTTATTGACTAAAACGTATTCACAGGTGTGCGACATGTCACTGTGTAAGCCTTTACTTTCAGGAAGATGAACAGCCTAATGTGTCTCCAGTCCTCTAAGTTGTTAATTATTGTTAATATCAACAAAACGTGCACAGTCTGTTCTGGTAAAGTGTCTCTGATCCATCTGTGAGATGACAGATCCTGTGACATGGGAGGTGGCAAAAGGGCGATAACCGTTATTCTTCATAAACAAGATTTGCTCAGTGTGTTCGTGTGGAATGTTTGTGTGACGGGGAGGGAAGGGGAACTCACCATTTTTATTTAAAAATGGTATGTGCTACAGTGTGTTTGGGCTCAGTCTATTTCAGCAGCCTTAGGGGAGAAAACTGTCTGCATGATGCTGGACTACATAAACAGGCTGAGGGACGGGCGGCGGAGGGCCTACAGGGCGGGGGGACGGCCTACAGGCAGGTAGGCTACGCATTTTTGTGGTCCAGTACGGGAAATAAAGAAACACCAGCTACAAAGTAACCGAGCACATTTACTGAAGTATTTTCGTTTATATTTCTACTTCACTGCATCTCAGAGAGAAATATTTGAGTTTTTACTGCACTACATTTAACATCTGCAGGTCACGTACAAAAACGCCACGTGATGAGTTTTAAATATGATATGGTGACAAACTAGGCAGAAAACCAATAATCTATAATCTGATGATAGTTAGATGACAGTAATAACAGTTACTGTAATTATATTGATCAGGTTTTTTTTATTATTTGCCTTTGTGGAAACTTTAAAGAAATATCAAGAAGTTCATGAAGCATCATCATATTTACAATAAAATAAAAGAATGTAAACTAACGTTACCTCAACCAGCTAAAACACTATGTTACTGCATCAGTAATAAACATCCCATAATATCAAGTAGTAGTAGTAGTAGTAGTAGTAGTAGTACTGCACATCACTGACAGAGCAAGTACTTTTTCTAGTACTACAGAGTAAACAGAGTCTCCTCGGTGTTCAGTCCACCTTAGAGTTTACAGAGTTTCTCGCTGACCTCCCACAGTTTCTGGGCCAGGGCGTTGTCTCGAGCCTGGGCGCACACTTCCTGAACTTCACAGCAGGAGAAGTAGCATCCGCTCAGAGGTTCAATTCCCTCCTGCAGGGCGCAGTGCAGTGTGGTCTGAGCTCCGGCCTCCGGGTCCAGGAACAGCAGCCGCGACACAGGCTCGATGAAAAGCCTCTGCCACAGACTGACGTGTCTGGACAGTTCTGTACGAACGATACCTGGGGAAAGGGGCAGGGGGGTGTTAGCATCACATCACAGGGAGGAAAAGCATACTAAGGAAGTAGTGGTCATTTTGTGTCTCTTTGTGTTGGTCTGACTGAAACAGAGGCCCGTTCACCAACGCATCATTGTTGTTTTTTGACAAAATGTTTTAAAAATCGTGTGTGACTCCTAAGTCCTTAAATTTATGTTTAAAATCCATCTGAGCACTTTACTTTGAAAAGCCAGGCAGCAGAAGAAGCTGCGAGCAGGTGTCACTGTCTCAGTTAAAGCCTTAACAGCACTGTCACGCAGTGATCCAGCTAAACCTGGAGCAGACAGGCGAGCACGTTACCTGGGTGGACGCTGTAGCAGGTGACGCTGGTTCCCTTCAGCCTCTTGGCGAGCTCGTGTGTGAACAGCACATTGCACAGTTTGCTGTTGCAGTAGGCCTGGAAGAACTGCCAGCTGTACCTGCCGGTGCCCAGGTCTCTGTTGGCCGCCAGAGCCTGAAAGACACAGGAACTGTGGCCTTTCAGAGATCGGCGTGAGCAGAAGTCTTGAGGAGCAATAACTTGTGTTCGTGAACAGTGCCCGGTAGCTGAACAGCTGGAGGCCACATAACTGTTTTGTGTGTGTGTGAGAGTGTGTGTGTGTGCGCACTAGATGTGTGGAGCTGCTCAGGGTCAAGCTGCACTCAGTCTGTGCACACACACGACTAAAGTATTTCTGTCACACCCGAATGCACAGGGATCCTGCTGCTGTATAACAAAATGTTGTGACTGCAACATACTGATGAAAACCAGATGCAAGGTCATGAAATTCTCCTCCTCCCTCCAAGGAATTAACCGATGACAGCGCTGCACTAATGTTCGTTTTCTGTGTGTGTTGACTCACCTCAAAGTCGATGTGTTTCCAGCGGTGAGCCATGGACGACACGGTGACCACTCGGCCCCCCCCCCCCCCCCCTGC